GCGTGTTGCCCATCCTGTTTGTGTACAGCATTCAGAAAGATAGCCTGGTTTTGTTTCATGTCAGTGCCAAGCTAGGTGTAATTAGTAAGGAAAAAGTGAAATTAAGGCCATTAAGAGAGAAATATACGAGAAAGGCATAGAGGACTTTTAAAGGGGAAAACGTAAACAATATATATTTTTAGGCCTGACAGAATTACTTAGTGGAACTTAAAAAAACATTTAAACCTGCAGGGCTTTTTTAAAACGTTGAAGTAGTTGATAACTTTTTTTGGGGTTACTGCCCCATTCTTTATATATTTTTCATCCATTGTTTCAACATGAACTTGCTGTTTCTAAACTAAAATTCAAGATACTTATCCTTTCCTCTTCCTCACTAGCCTTTCTATCTCAAAGAAGTTTGGATGAGCTTGTAAGCACTTAAAAACCCATCAGATTACCTCAACTTTTTAATATTTGCCAAACATTTTTCATACTCCCACTTTGATAGCAATGGTCTGATTATAGAAAAAGAAAATGTGAAGATATACAGTAGGAGTAAGGTCTAAGGGCTGTGGTGGAATCATAACTTACACAGATGGCTCAGGCCACATCATTTATTGAAGAGATAGCTCAGTGTTACACTTGTAGCAATGCAGAACATAATTACCTTGCCAGTCTTGTCACACGGCTCTTTAGCCAAGGTGTGTTAAAATTGCTTGCAAACCGGAACAAAGACGGAATAATTTGATTAGGTAAAGAGGGGGGATAAAAAAAGATATCTGTCTCTTCATAAATTATTACTGTGTTTTTCCCAGGCCTGGTTGTCTCTCTGTTGTATTCACTACCACCGCACAACTCATGTCTGAGATATCATTTACCATTATACTTTAAACCTGATACACTATGCCAATATTATATCTATTAAAAATCTACTTCTAATATTTGACCTTAGACCTTGGGCATATTTTAGTCTATTTTTTCTACTGTAAAAAAAGTAAACTGACATAAAGTGCTCCTAAGGGCTTATGAGGAAACTGCCTAAGGATTGTGGATGTGTCGAGTTCTGATTGAGGTGGTAAATAACAGACAAGAACACTGTGTACCAAGTTGTTCTGACACAGAGAAATTTGGAAGTGAGGTTACTCACATGCTCAGTAGGCATGGTTTTACTAATGTGGCTAAGAACGATGAAGGCAAATTTTTCCTTCAGCATAGAATCAGCATCCGTCGGGGATCTACAAGCTCCTAGAACAACACCGTGTTTTCCCCTGAGTCTTCAAAGCAATGTGCTAGCTGTAAATCCCAAGAGATCACACAGTTTCAGGCAGAGACAGGTACATGTTCTCAGCTTGTCACTATAATCTTGTTCTTGATGTGAAGTGAAGAAAGAAGGGAGAGAGAGGGGAGGATCTTATTTCTTTCACCTCACTTTAATTAATAGGATTCTAATCAGCTTTTTTCTGCATTTTGTCGGAAGAACTGCTGTTAGGTTGTTCACAGACATTTGCCAGAAGAACAAGTATTGGGTATCACAGGAATTATTTTATTTAAGAAAATATTCCTCTAGTACTGCATAGATGTATAGTTCTGAAAAGTTTCATGTTTGTATAGTACATCTGAAAAGAAAATAAGCTGTGCTATATGTATTTTTCAACTTTCTGCACAGAAATAACTTCTATTCTCTAAAGCATTCTCATCTACAATTAGCAATCATCATTGTTCCTGCCAATGGTGTACAGATACTTCATGGCGTACAAAGCTTAACTATAATTTTTTCAGTATTTGTTTTATGGGTTTTAGAGAGCAGCAGTTAAATATAACTGAAGAGCTTCATTGGTTTTTGCACTGAGGAGTATGAGATAGAGGCTCATTGACAGGACAGCACTGTGAGGCTGCCACCGCAGTCAAAGTTACTCAAAGCTACTTCAGTCATTATTTAAAGGTTTTTCATTTCTAAAAATGGTATTCTAGCTCCATTAACAAGCAGAGTAGACTGGATTTAGGAATCTGAGGACAAGGACAAAGCATAAAATTATTTATACCCTTCATAATTTTCCATCAAGTAATTCTGCAAAACTTCATCTTCCCAGTAATTGGGGAAAGTGGAAGAAGGGAGTATTTTGAGTATTTTGTCTTGCAAATGTTTATGCACAGGTATAGTATTGCAACATAAATTGTTTGTTGCTTCAAGATACATGAGTAAATACTTGCGGTATTTTGGGTTTAGTTGTTGTTTAACCAAAGTTAAATCCTCTGGAAACCATCTTTTTATGAGCAATATAATGAGATTTTTTCGTATTAGATAGCTCTTTAGAGGTCCTAAGTATATTCATAACTTCACACTATTTTCAAAGGTCTTTTAACTAACAACGTAACTTTTCTTTAATATATCTTTAATCTGCATTGAAACTTGACAGCAAGGTATGGAACGGAACAGACCACTCCTTATGAATTGTTTCTTTGACAGGCACGTCCCCTTTACCTGTTGGCAAACAAACTTGAAAATCCTGTGTCAGCAACTTAAATGAGTATCTACGAAGTAATCATTATGGATAAATATTTATGACATCACGTACATTGTATTAAACCCCAAGGGGTGGGACTTCATTTCTGAGTGATTGTACTGATCATATTGTCTTATACATTCCTGACCAGAAAGACATACAGTCTAATTTGAAAGGAGAGAGTTAGAAATAAGAAAGACAACAATGATCTAAAGAAATAGCAGCTAGACAACCAATCGCTAGGGCAATAAACATTTTTTTCTGTGACTAACCTTAAAAATCTTTTCAATTTTGTAGAAAATGGAGTATTTTTTAAAATGACTTATTGGGCAGTTGCAGTGTAGCAGTCATGCCATATAAGCCCCAGCCTGGTGGAACTCTTGTTTAGCCAGCACATAGTAGAGAGACCCTCATGCCATCTTTCAGCCTGCTGCTTCCTAATTCTTCATATATTTTGTGTGCTCATGATAACATGAACTGGAGTGCGAGTAGAAAATTCCTGTAATTAACAGTAATTCTTTTGCCTCCAACAGACTTCAGGCATTAGCAAGTGTGATGGCATCCAACATCTTGGATGTGGTGCTTTCTTCCCTTAATTTGTGAAATATTTTGCATCTACCAGTTGAATAGGTTTATGCTTCCTAAACAACAGGCTTTTCCCTGCTGTAACACATGCATTTGTCTTCAGAGAGATTTGGGGAACCAAAGCTGATACCGTGTGAGCCATCAGCCTTTGTATTCAGAGATAAACAGGACTGTCACACTAGGTAAGGGTCTGTGCCCTTGGTAACATGCACATAGGTGAAGGGAGGAAACATCTGTATTAGACAAAGGAAAGGTACTACCTGCTGCGAATTCTTATTTAAAACTTTCTTGGGAACCTACTGTGCATGTGTGTAACTCATACATTGGCACTGACAGTGATAAGAGCAAATGCTAGCTTTCTCAGCAGGAGAGGAAAAAGTTTCCCGTTTCGAGAAGTTGTTCACTCAGGAGCTGGAGAAGAGGACAAAACAGACTGTTATAATGATAAATAAGAATGATAAAAGGTCTAAACTGGAACCCTGGAATCAGGCCTAGGTTTTAATTAACGTTTTTTACTTATGTACACAACAAAACCCACATACTCCAAACACTTACAAGCTATCAGTTCAGATTTTGATTTACATCAGAACTTTGAGGTGTTTAGATTTGCTTTAGATTAAAAGTTTCTGATGATCCTTAAATGGAAATTAAATATAGCAACATGAGTTTCTAAGACGTGAATCTCTACCATGATTTGAACCACTGCCTAGTTGTTAGGAAGATCCGGGACATTTGGATCTGCCTGTGATGTTTTTGCAAAATTTTTAAAGTGGAGGCAGATTTTTCATGGTAGTTTGCTAAGCGGCCCATGCCAACTTCTAGAGAAAGGAGAGCGCAGAAGAAGCAGATCCAGAGAACCCCCTCTGAGAGAGGGAAGGACAAGCATAGCAACTAGATGTAAATAGACCCTGTTAACATCCTTGGTCAGCACCACTCCACTGTCTCCCAGTGGCTGATGCTGTTACAGCTTCCATGAGCAGGCTTCGAAGAGCAGAGAAAGGAGCTTCATTCAAGTGCAGGTTGAGTGGAGCAGGAAGGGGTGATGGGAGAGTGCCAGGACCACTCGCTCATGTTTTGAAGTTCACAACCAATAGAAAAAAAAAAACTACCCCAGTCAAACCTAAAGGTCATTACCAGGCCATTGCTCTATATTTCTAAAGCTGATGTGAAAGTTATCAGCAATTATTAGCATCTCTCCTGGTGTCAATAATACATAAATACTAAGAAAGCCTGGAGCATCATTTTTACAGGCTCTGTTGAGACATACATTTTGTTTAAGAAATAGATAAAAGAGACCAAGTAAGGTGGAAAGTCAACATAAGTAGCTATAAATATGATTATAAACAGCTGCTGCTTCTTTACTTGATTTAAAACTCACAGTGAAAAAAATAGTAAATGTAATTTTTTCAAGCATATTTTAAAAATCCTGTTTTCTGCTTGTATGTTTACTAAAGCCCAAGTAAATAGGAGTGTTGCCAGTTATTTCAGTAAGAGCAGGATTGACCCTATATATAGTGTTGAAACAAAACCCCTCAAACTAGTTTATTCCCACAAACGAGATTCACTAATTTTGCTAAACAAGCATTTCCTTACAGACAGCTGTATGAAATTACTAAAAACCGTTGAGAAGTTAACAAATTTTGGAATCTCATTTATATTCTTGTTGGTGCTAGTAAAAGAACCAAAATGGGTAGAATTTGATTAATTTAAATATTTCACTGTCAAGATTGGTGGTGTTACAATGAACATGCTACAGATTAATAGCTATATTCAGAAACTCAGCATTTTGAAAGTTCTTTTTTTTTTTAATGAAGTTTGCCTTGTTTTCCCATAAGACTTTCTTTCCCAGAGATGAATATATCTGACTCTCATTCTGGTGTCTTATTCTTTTTTTAGCTTCCTGAAATGACTCATATTCAGACACGGCGACCCTGGTTGATGTTTCTTCTACAGAACCTTGGATTACTATTAGGCTGGCTTTGCCTCTTACTTTTGGCTGTATATGAACAGAAGATTAAAATATAAGTTTTCTGCTGGAAATCTTGAAGTACCACTTATGACAGTGGATAGCATTATTCATAATTTTGTCATGTCTGCTATAGTGATATATAAATTAAGTTGCTGGGATTTTATATCTGAACAGTACATAACTATTTCACTTCTTTATTAACTTATTGTTCAGATTTTGTAGGGTTTTTTTGTAAACATGGATGTTTAGAATTATGTTTTATTTGTTACTGAGTTTACCAGATTCCATGCTCACATTCAGAGAAGCTTTTGATTAGTTTTTATTGAGACTTTTATAGTTGAATGCTCTAAGTGATCTCTGCCAGTCTGATTTAAGAAAAGAATAAAAGATTTTTATATGCAATAATTAAAGTGGACTAACCATAGTTGAATAATTTGAAGCAGAAATGGTTTTTGCCTCTTAATACAAAGAATATATGTATTTCTATAAAACTTTAAAGTATAGCAAAACTAAACTGTTAAATGGAATACAGTAATCACATCATATCTGCACTGTCTATTTAGTCTCATAAAAACCCTCAGTAGTTATATCTTACTGGTCCACTGTGGCAGGAAAAAAATGACAAATGTCAGTGTTGAAGTTTATGATCTAGATATTTGGGAATGCCCTTTTCTGACTGCAATATAGTTTCTTATATGTGTGATGATATCTATGACAGTCAAGCATTGGACTATAGTAACCACCTTCTGCATTATCCCACCTCTGAAGGGTGCTCATAGCATATGCTTATGAAGGATTATAAGAAATATGTTTAAATTATTTTTTCCTTGATATCCCTTTTGGGCTCCTCAGATTAAGGGATTTCTTGAGCCAAATGCTGGTTCTGAGGCATCATGTTTCATAAACAGCAATAGTGCCTTCCTGTCAGCACTTAGCTTATTCATACATATGCAGCGTGCCTCATGCAAAGTGCTTTTCAATTGTCTAAAGTGCATGTAGCTGTGATCTCTTAGGGCCTCATGGTAACTCCTTGTATCTTGAGTGATTTTTGTGTAATTAGTCCTCTTCATTTCAAGGGAATTCTGCATAAATTGAAATGACTCATTTATTTTAGTTTTGCAGAATCGGTCCTGAATAAATATACAAATTCTGCCCTGATTCTGAGGTCCTGAGCAACTTCCAGGAGATATTGAGCAACACTCAACTGTGTGATTTCTGCTACTTAACATACCATCCATTTTTGGTGTAAGAACTCCCTCTTATATAATTTATGTATTTGTATGAGGATTGAGATGCATTCTTTCTCCCTCCTCTGATGAACTGTGAAAACAGAGAGAGCAAGTTACACGACAAACATATATTCTTTATGTAGCAAGTGGGTATTTTCTTTTTCTTGTCTTAACCCAAGCTTGAAATATGGCTACATTATGACATGATATTACTGTCTTACAGTGTGCCCTGTGTTTATTTGACAGCCCCTAGTGAAGGTACAATTATTCCCATATTACAGAGAGGAAGAGTCTACGCTCCTAGAGCAGACTGTCAGAACTGTCAGTTCTCAAAGGTTTCAGGGGCACCATAGCTCCTTATCAACAAAATGTAAAGTCAAAATAATTCTGAATTTCAAGGTTTGTAATAACCCACATTCATGGGCTTGTGAACCCCTAGTCATCCACAGACCTACCCTTGGGAAAAACACTTACAGATCATTTTGAAGCTAGATATTATGCGCACTCATTTTCAGTGCCTGCTCTTTATGAGACTCTGTAGCAAATACCCCAATGCACATCTAAATGTACATCTAGGTATTTACATACCTTCAAAAATCTTGTCCCAAACAAGTTATCCACAGTAACACAGGAAGTCTCTGTCTGACTAGGGAAATGAACTGAAGTGTTTTAAGCCCTAAAGTAAAATCCTGGCATGTTTTATTTAGGTGTGCAAATATTATGACTGCTTTTTCTGTTGGTTTAACTTTGAAAGATGAGCTGAGAAGCCATGACTGATGCTTCTCTTTTCAAAGTTCACATTTTTCAGGAGTTTGTGCTTGCCTTTAGTAAGGTAATTTTTTTTAAAAGTGGTTTCCCAGTGTTTCATCTGTTTGTATTGGCCCTGAGTCACTCCATGACCTTCAGCTGTGACAGTCAATTCAAGCAATAGCAGGACAGCGCTGGACGTAAGCAAAATCTATTCTTGTATCAGATGGTGCAAATGAATATTTGAAGCATTTGTTATTTCGAAGAGAAGAACTACCGTTGTTTGAATGTTTATACATACGTAATGTTCACTACCACAGAAAACAAGATTACCAGTATGATAATGTTTTCGCAATGTTACTGTATTCTGAAATATTTTTCTGCTGTTTATTAATGTGTCTCAAAGAGGGCAAATAATTTCTGGCAGAGTGTACTTTTAAGTTTCATATGAGCATAGGTTCACATTCTGACATGATCTGTGAACATATTGTATCCACATCTGTTGAGAAAATGTCATCTTTTGACTATGTATATTTATCAGGTTTCTTGATCTCATTTAACAACCAAGCATGTCTATACAGCTTCCACCTCAGGCACAGATATTTTGAGCAGAATGCCAGTTAGTCCTGGTTTCTGCCACAGAGCTCATATGCTTCTGTGGTATTTGTCAGTAAGCGAGCAGCTCATTTTACCTTGGTGTCAATCGTGACCACATGAAGTGTTGTGAGCATACAGATGTTTGAATTTCTATGGCACTTGTGAGAGAACTTATCTTGCTATTTAAAGTAGTAACTACTGCAATTCTCTTGACATTAGTGTCCACTGAAGGTGGTGCGGTGTTACCACATGTGAAACGAGATGAGTCTGCACATTAGGAACGACGCATCATACAGGGGTCTGGAAACTGTTCCTCTGGGTCACTGAATTAGGAAAGTAAATCACCTTAAACCTAGAGATCTACCTGCAGGATTTGTCTTTTTTTTCAGTGTTTTCTGAGAATCCCAAGAAAAAGGATAGAAGAATATGGGGTTTGTGTCATTACAAAAGAGAAGGTGGTGCACAAGTATTCTTATGATGCGTTCTTTTTTTGTTTGTTTTAAATTCCGTAGAGTTTATTCATACAGATTTCAAACACAACTCTATTTAAAGCCAGGTATTTCTTTCTGTTCGTCCAAACCTAACAGATAGAGAGCATAATATGCCAATGTTTTCATTGAGTCAAATCCTGAGTAAGGACTGTGGAACTTCATCACTTGCAGCCCCTAAATCATGACTAGGTATCTCTCTAAGAGGTATGCAGTTACTCAAGCAGATGTTATGTGCTTGATGGAGAGATTACTTGGTGAGGTTTTACAGCCTGTCAGGCAGTTCTGACTAGATAATCATAATGTTCCTTTGAAACCCTAAAATATATGAATCTATAGCTATAGGAATTTTCCTGGAAGAAGCTGGTTAGTATTTCTCTCTTTCATCTATTCTTAGTTTTCAGGCACTGTCAAGATGAATAAAACAGACAATATATTGCTTTCCTACACAGAAAATGAGAGAGAAAAGGAAAGATTGAAAGAATTTGTTTGCTACAGAATTCTTCCCTGGAAGTTAAAAGGCGGAGTGCCTCATAAAAAATACTTCCAATTCCAAACTACCAGGGATCCTGTAAGAGAGCTGACCTTGTACCTCTCTTTTCTGTATATGTTACACATTACCCAGTGACTCCTAAGATAAATAGTACCTTCTCTGCAGCCAGCTATGCTAATGCCATGAGAAGTTTCTGGAGCTCATCTGCGTGTTTTCACTACTGCCATCTATTCCTTCACTGTATTTTATGCTTTAGGCATAAATGTGGCATTTCTCCAGAGACAAAAAATAACTTCTTTTAATTTTGATACATATATTCAAATTGTTTTTCTTTCACCTTGCCATTGCATTTGAGAAAGCATCTTATCATTGTAACAATTCTTAGCCTGCAGCTAGAAATAAAAATCAGATTTATATCAAACTAAGTATTAGGGCTGATAATTTTATAATAAGGATGTTCTTTATCAAATTTATTAGCTTTTCTTGCTATGTTGTAGCTTCCTACCAAGTCTCCCTCTCATCTTAAAAATAAGCTGCCTTCTATTGTGAGTGTAGATGTAGGAATGTGACTCCAGAAAATACAAGCAGTAGTTACACAATGTCTTTGATCAAAACAAAAGGCCCTGTGATTTATTTTACTAGACCCACCTTCCTTCCCTTCTCCCCAAAAGAACAGAAAGTCCACACGTGGAGCTGTTGCTCTGGGTCACGTAAGGGAATGTGAGAAGTGCCTTCTTTCTTTTGTGTCTCTGATAACAGGACCAAGCACAACGGGAGACCCTGTGTAGACACCTGATTGTTGCATTGAAGTCGCTGCCAAGCTCCCACAGGCGGCAGCATCCTGGTGCGGGAATCATGGATGGCTGGTGCCGCTTCCTTTTGTAGCGATGGCAGGAGGCAGAGCAGGCGGGGGGACCCCGGGGGGATGTACTGCAGCACAGCCCTTCAACAGTTGCAGCAGAAGGATCAAAGGGTTTAGAGCTGTCTCTGTATCATCCTGCAGGGGCTCACTTCAGAGCAAATTCTCAGACAGTTCATGCTGTCTTGGCTTTGGACGTGAAGGATATCGTGAAGGTGATCTGGCGGATAACCCAGTGAGTGCAGGCTCCTGCAGAGCAATAATCTGCAGGACCCCAGCAGTCAGGGTGATCCAAGGGAATGCCGCTTCTCTCCAAAGGAACCTCCCATGATACTCATAAAGGACAAGGCCCGTAGCCATTACTAGGGTAGTGCACCTCCACACTACAGCTGCAGGGTACCCAAACTGAGCACGATGTGGCGGTCCTTCCTCTCCAGGGGCTCAGCTCTGACATTGACAGAGCATTAAGCACAGGATTACCTGGCAACCTAAATCTGCCTAGCAACCATTTATATATTGGCCCAAGATAATGACAACCAACCACTAATCTGGTGCTACAGATACGTTTATATGTGACAACATTTTGTCTCACTGCAGCTGTCTGGGGAACCCTACCTCATTCTTTTCCTAGGGATCAGCAGAAATTAATTTGACCTATCCCAGAGACATGGCAAGAGATATGCATAGAGGAACAGCCTAATCATTTATTAAGACTTCTTAATTTAAGACTGTGCCAGATTCTGCTGTCTCTCCATGGGCTCTTCAGAGAAGGCACCAGGTCAGTGTCTGCACTGGTCTGTCGGGTAGCTGCCCAGGCTGTCCTCACTGTGGTGCTTGATGAGGGAGCAGCAGCCTCATCTTGGGCCTGACATTTGTTTTGCAGTATTCCAGGTATACCTGTCATTGCACACCCAATATGGCATCCATCCGTACATCACCCCTCATTAACATTCATTCTGACTTTTCTAGCAAGGACTTTCTAACGTTTGTCCTGACACTTGCTTATCTGCACTATGCAAATGTCATAACCCATATGGTGAGGGCTCTTACCTGTTCCATACTACAGCTGAATGCGATGTTTCTGATGTTCAGAAAGGGCAGCGGAGCATTTGGAAATT